CTTTAGAAAAATAGCACTTATCAGTTGAAGATGAAATGCACATGTTCATACAGAAAAAACGGATTCCAAACATACATGAAGCTGAATGGAAATAACACATTTAATATTTTGCATGACCAAGTCAAAGGTCCATATTTAAATTCTATGGAAATGTTACTGCAGGTCTGAAATGAGCAGTTGTGCTACTGAATTGAAGCAATTCAGCCTGGAGAAGTGGTCCAAAATTTCTACATAGCAGAATCATTCAGATTCCCTTTATATATTAGCAGTCTTCTGGGAACAGTCAATGGCAAGTAGCCTCATGGTGACATAGGTGGCAAATAAATTTAACAAATAAATAAATATGTAGAAACTCTCAGAAGAATAAAGAGCAATGTTTTTTTTTTTTACAGAATTGGGGGATGGGGATATATTTAAAAAATTGCAGAAAAAGAATAGCCTTCAGCTCTAGAGAAATATAAGCAATGATGTCAAAACTAATGTTTTTATTTCTAACAGATTTGAGCTCCTTCCCAAATATAATATTAAAATACACCCAGATATTATTAGCCCTATGACAGATGGCATTAATTAAATATTTTACCTTGCATTGTGGTGGTGGGATGGTCTGGTTGTTAGTTACACACTGCTGACTTTTGTAATACTCAGGATACTGGCTCTGTCATCTACCTAAAGTGTCTGGTCTGTAAATTTTCAAAACAAGAATGTTTATGATGGTTATCTTGTGTCTGGTGCTCCAGATACTGTACAGTATGCTACATTGCTGCTGTTGCCTACCTCTCTAGATGGTCATGAAAAGGTACACAACAATGCTTCGGTAGAGTCTAAAAGGTGATTCAGTAAATTTACTTGTACAGTTGGTATGGTGGTAGACTTTAGAAGAAACCTTCCTATACTACCACCTCTTACAATACTAGACAACACAGTATCAACAGTAGAGACCTTCAAATTTCTAGGTTCTACTATATCACATGATCTAAAATGGACACCTAACATCAAAAACATCATCAAAAAAGCACAACAAAGAATGTTCTTTCTGTGCCAACTCAGAAAGCTCAAACTGCCCAAGAAGCTGCTGATACAGTTCTACAGAGGAATTATTGAGTCTGTCATCTGCACCTCTATAACTGTCTGGTTTGGTTCTGCAACCCAACAGGACAGACACAGACTTCAGAGGATAATTAGGACTGCAGAAAAATCAATTACTACCCACCTGCCTTTAATTGAGGACCTGTTTACTGCACGAGTCAAAAAGAGGGCTGTGAAAATATTTACAGACCCCTCACATCCCGGACACAAACTTTTTCAATTCCTTCCCTCAAAATGACGCTATAGAGCACTGCACACCAGAACAACTAGACAGAAGAACAGTTTTTTCCCAAAAGCCACCACTCTGCTAAACAAATAATTCCCTCAACACTGTTCAACTATTTACAAAGTGTACACTACTATTACTGTTAATCTTCTCACCACTCCTTATCACCCATCCCCTCCCACTTGACTGTTTTCTAGTATGATTTGATTGTTGATTGTATCCTATGACTATCATTAAGTGTTGTACATTATGATTCCTGATTCTTAATGAATGTACCTTTTCTTTATGTATACTGAGGGTATTTACACAAAGACAAATTCCTTGTGTCTCCAATCATTGGCCAATAAAATATTATATTCTATTCAGTTGAAATATGTATTGCATATTTAACATGTTGAGATCACAGCTTTCAAAGGATACAACTTCCTTTGCTAGGAGCATGAAGTGATTAACAACTAGTTTTCACATAAAAACTAGTCTTAGATATCAACAGAAAATGTGACTGATCACTGTATATTCCAGTCATTTTTCTATGTGATTGGAGTAATCATTTCTCATATTGAAGAGTTCCATGGTGCAGCTGAAAAGCATGTAAACACAAGCTGCTTATTTGCAAGAAGCTTCCAGATTTGCAATATGATTGCTATGGAAACCACATAATGAAAATCCTATAACCATCTGGGTGCTTTGATGAATTTTACTGCATAGTTGAGCTGTTTTTGTTTACTGTTGTTGAAATATTGAGTAGAATATATTAACTCACAAGTTCGCTATCTGAAGTATTAATATTGTTCAGTGACACAGCATCTTCTAACTAATGTAGCCCAACAGAGTGCTTCTTGTTATTAATGTGCTATTAATTAGGGCTAATGTAGGTATATTTATGATAACGACTAGAGTTTTGAATGAGAGGCAGATAGAAGGACTTAGTTAAAGATTGGCTCATAAGGCAAAAGATTACTTGTGTTGTTGCAGAATTTCACCACAGAAACCAAACTTCAACAAATTTTTTGTATCCATTTAATTTGATGTTTACTGTTTTATCTATTGAATGTGATGTGTTCACCTCTTTGTATCTTCTTGAGTGTCCAAAGAAATTCCTCAAAGTGTATTTAATCATATGTAATTATTCAAGCAGTAAAGAAAGGAAATATGATACGGGATTGTTTAATCTTATAATTAATTTATTTAAGATGTCAAAAAAGCTGCTGTAATTATTTTCTAAACTTGAATGAGAAAATTATCTTCTTTATTTATGCAAGCAGACAGACGTGCACAAACATTATTATGTATTCTAAAACTATTATAAAAATTAAAAATTGTATATGCAGTAAATATTTAACTGGCAGGGTATACAACTATGAAATAACATATGGCTTTGAGAATCTGGAATAATGTCCACTAATGGTTGATGGGTTGCCTAGACTAAATTATGTGGAAGAGTGTTTTTGAAAGAGCAGATTTCTTAATTAAGTGCAACTAAACTTAAATATTGCATTGTTTATCATTTGCCAAGACTGTACAGTAATAAATTGGTAGGAACAGCTGGCACCATTGCTTGAATATCGCAAATAAATAGTTTGTCAACATTTTTAGCAGCAAAAATGGTCTTTTGCAGAATGCTGCATATTAAATAGTATTTATCAAGTGTAAACTATTTAAGGCTGTGATATCCATTGAAACAGTGGATTCCCCACTGGACATCAAAGGATCTGAATGTTCATAAGATGTGACTAAGGAATGAAGAGTTGGTGGCTCTGACAGTAAGATAGAAAGATTTTTCAAATCTTGTCAGTGTGCTTGATTAATATATAACATGATTGTACTATTCTGCATTTTCATAGCATTTTCCTTTGTGTGAAAAGGGGTTATTTTATCTATACAGTACAAAAACCTCATCTGGTAGGCTATAAGGTGGTAGACCTACTGTGGCCCACCCAAGGAGTTTCATTGCAGACTTTGCAAGCTGGATTTCCCCATTAGATTCAACATGCTGACCTCAGCTGTTAAATGAATTGTAAAGTGAGCACACACAGCCACATATTGTACTTTGAATATTATCACAAACTACTTATTGATGTTAGCTTTCTTTTAAATAGACATCAAACCATCTGCTCTGCCTTAGTCAGAGCACAGCTAGTTGCTAAGAGAAGCAATCAGATCAAATTAGATTAGATAAAGCGATTCAATCTGAATTGCAATACTCAGTCATGTTACTGGTCTCTGACTGAATTGTTGTGGTCCAAGAATTGTGACATGGTTAGTCCTCGAGTAATACTCTTGAAACTGAATCTTAATTGTGAGTGGGCTGTTAGTTATAGGAATTGAAGTTAGGTGCAATATTGTAGTGATAATTAAATCATCCTCAATATTTGCTGGTGATAGTGTGCTCTTTATTAATTATAAGCAAGAACTTGTTCATAACAATCAGTAAAAATCATAGAGTTATATAAATTGATAGGTCTCTGAAATGCTTCTGAAGTATACCAATCTGTCAGGCTTTCTAAATAGTCCAGATAAGAAAGTAATGATTATTGATGCTGTTATCTGACTGTTGCCCTTGCTGCAGCTCTTCCTTTTTCTATCTCTCAACAATATTCCTACAGACCATTTTACAACCCCACGTTTATAATAACCTGATAATTGCATACTTTGTGATGTTCTAATCTACAAAACAGCATTTTGTGGTTAGAATCAGCCGGTTCACAGATTTTCTCAGAACTGATGTTGGAATTTTTCCAAGTATTTCAGTATATCATGCACAAACTGTTCTAAAAGTAAAATAAGGCGTAGCCACAATTCCGTGTAAGGAAATTGTGTGATCATGCCCCCCAGTAGGAGTAGAACAGTATTGGGTCTAGATGGATAAAGGAGCAGTCACTTGATGTGAATAGCCATGGTCTAAAGCTTTTAGTGTTTCATTTTTGATATAGAAGATTAATTTGTGTTGATTTAATTATACAGTTTGAAACATGATAAAACTTTCCATACATATTTATAACTTAAAAGGGGGGGTGGGGGGAGGCTGCAAGTATGTCAGTTTGAAGCAGAGGTAGTTCTGCCAGGAGGTAAATTGAAGTGACCTGGTTCATGCACTATTTCAATGAATAAGAGAATGGTTATTCAGAAATTACTCTGATTGGGATGGCCATGAAACTGGGTCAAACTTTGAACTCTGCTTCAGGCAGCAAAATACCTTGGGAAGCATTGTCTTAAAGTGCTAGTGGTTATCACCATGTAAGTAGGTAAACTGAAATAAAATTTTGGCTTCGGGAGAATGCTGTATGAAAAATAACCTTAACATATATCGATTATAAGCACATTCAAACTGAAAAGAACTACTGGAAACTTCTAATATATTGAACTCAACTCCACAGTGAAAATCTAATACCATCTCTGGGAGACCAGATTTGGGAAGGGCTGACCTGTTGGCAATTAGAATCTACTTTTCCTGTTTAGAGAAAATAAATAGTTGTAAATATGCAATGGACGTTTTTTATTCAAAATGTTGATGTTTGTAATTAAGGGAGTGGTGAGTGTTTAGCACAGTTTAAGCCTTTAACATGTTCTGAAGTCTCTGAGAGATAAAGTGTGCACAAATGAATTATTGTCTTGATCTTTTCTGAATGATCTAGGACTAAAGTTCTTTAAGCTAACTTTTTTGTTGAATGTATTGTATCTACAGAAGAAGCAGCAACAGTAGCTGAAATGCCAGGAAAGAGTGAAGAATCAAAGAAACAAAGCCAGGACACTATAACCAGTATTTCAGGTGCGTCGGATGTGGTGTTTATATTTGCTTTTGAAAACTTGTTATCCTTCTTAGCATAAATAAAGATATTTGAAATTCCAGAAGCTTAACTATTCTCCTATGGTACTAAAGCTGAGTGGGATTTGGTGGAGGGCAGAATCTGAATAGCCCCATTTAGGATGCATGAAAATTGCTTGAGAAGGATTTACAAAGTAAGCCTATTTATACAAGGTATTCCTTTCTGAATTACTTTGTAATGACTCAATTAGCTTTCATTTCTTCACAAAAGAGATTTAGCTGCATAAATTAGCTTATCATCATTGAGGATGTGTCACTGCTAAAGGACAGTTTATAGATACAACATGCAGTTGCTGTCAAACCTATAAGAATGTAATATAGACATCTGTGTATACTTTGTGCTTGAGCAGAACAGACTTCTGTCATTCAGAGTCTAATGGGGGACAACAAGTTGCTCAGGGGACCAACAATGTAGACATCTCTGAAAAGGTCATCTTGACACAGGCTCTGACAATCGACCCACAGCTCTGTCTTCTTTGATAAAAATCAGATAAACTTAAGACCACTAATTGATCTGCAGCCTGCTTAAATGTTGGCCATGCATATCTTCATTGCATATGATTATACTGCAGAAAGGAAATGAAGAAATGCCAGGGTCCAATGACTGCAGAAGGAAAGATGATGGTGGTATGAAAATTTAGAAGGCACTACCCAGGAATTGTAGTGGGGAAAAAAGTCATTACTTTCTTTCATTTGCGTTGCCAAGTTGCCCTGGTGTTAATCCACACTAAAGAAGGGAGTTGAGGAACTGGATCAGGCACCTTAGAACAGGACAGCTTTTTTTAAGGGCATACTAATATTTGCTTTACTGGAATTGCCATTTAGGTACTTGGCTGACTTCTGAATTTGGAAACCCAACACTTATTTCTTATCGAAACACCTCCAAATCTCAGACATCAGCTGAATGCCTGGTGTGCTTTGTCACTGTGTCCTGACAGAATGAACCTGAGGTTATCTTTTTCGTCATACTTGCTCCACATCATTCTTCCACTGCTGTCAGAGAAAGGGTGGATGAGGAGTATGTTCAGGAAATTTCTTCACTGTGCCCTTCCTGTTGTAGCATGTGGAAAGGAAACAGGCCTGACTTCCGGCCTCTGGCAGGAAACTATATGAACAGGTTGTTGTGGACAGTTTAGGCTAATGTTTGCTGCAAAGGAAACAAAGTTTTAAGTCATCAGATGTTGCTCTTAGTAGAATGGACCTCTATAATAGATTAAGTAATACTTCATTTCATAGGAAAGTTACTCCCACTAACAATGGGATTCTCAAAGCTTTTTGGTAACTTGGCATGCATTTATACTAACACAATATCAGCTGGCTCAACTTCAAGGCCTTTAGATAGAACATGAAGCCTAAATATTTCAGAAATGAAGTAAAACACCATACAAGGTACAGTATTTTAGCATCACCTAGAATTTTTGATGCTCCTGACAGTATTGTTATTTCTTCTTCTGAAACACCATGGATTTTGCCTCCCTCAAAAATACCAAAGAAACTTCTATTTAGATCTATTCAGCCACTATAGGATTGCCTTAATTTCAGTAGGTCTTAGTCAGTGTAGGGTTGAAATTTAAATGAACTGTAAGCATGAACTAGTAAATAGCCTACATAATTCTTTCATAGGAATGTTGTGCTAGGTAATAGTCTGTAGCAAACTATTCAACAGGTTCTGACCAGTTCTGGAGAACCGGTAGCAGAAATTTTGAGTAGTTTGGAGAACCGGCAAATACCACCTCTGACTGGAGATTTTATAGTATCCTTCTCCTGCCATGCCCATCAAGCCACACCCACAGAACTGGTAGTAAAAATTTTTTGAATCCCACCACTGGCCTTTAGGATTTCTCTGTTTTTTATAAGATTAATCCTGATAAATTTCAAACTCAACAATTGGATTAAGTTCTACAGCAAGTAAATCTCAATAAATGCTGTTACAATATATTTAGCAATATTCTTAAATGCAATTTGTTGCTTTCAATTGATTTGTTTTAAACAATCTTCATTATACCCTTTTTACATTTGAACTTAGCAAATCTTGCTGCACTGAGCTATCTATTTGTCAGTTGGAATGGCGTACAAGAATTGGACAGATTTAAAATATCAGATCTTTATATACTCTTGGATTCTTTAGGAGTACCATGATATATTTGACCAAAAATCCACCATTTTAAACAATAGTCAGGAAACTTACAAATACTGATATAATAGGGTTTTTTTTGCAGTGGGGAATACCCAAGTGAAAGGTGAATAGAGTTCATAGAATTCCCAGCAAGCTGGCCAAAGGCTAAGAATTTTGGAAGTTATAATCCCAATCCTTGTTGTAACTGCCTAATCACGGTCCAGAATACTGAGGCACAAATATACGTGTGTGTGTGTGTGTGTGTGTGTGTGTGTGTGTGTGTGTGTGTGTGTGTGTGTGTAAATGTTCTTCATTCTAGGTATAACTGTGTATTTATATTACAATCCTGTAATCCCGTAGTCCTTCTTCTATATAAACTAAAAAGCCCTAAATGCCACAACTTACCAACAAAGAATTATTTTATATACATGGAAGCAAAGAATTGGTTGTTACGTTTCTAACAGTAGAATTGTAAGGAAAAGAAATATGCTGCTTATTGGTAGCATATCCTCTCTAGATTGCTGTCTTAAAATGACCAAAATCCTATGAGACTGCCATATGTTTTTCTCTCTCTTATGAATTATCAGGCAAAAACAAACAAACAAACATGCAATCTGATAAGACCTCAGTTTCTTAAAATGAAAAAAAAAGGACTTTTTAATGCTTATGCTTTAACATTTACAGCATCATATGAAATTATACAATGCCTGAAAAGATTGCTGACCCTGTTTGAAAGTAGTGTGCATTTCAGCATTTCTCAGGTTGCTGCAGCTGTGATAACTGTAGTTGGATTCTTTCCAATTCTTCTAATTCCTTATCCAGTGCAAAACTTTAAAATGTTGAGTCACCATATCAGAAACTCCACAAACATTCCAGAGTGCCCATTTCTCCCAACATCTGAGCACTGATATTCGTCCAAATATTATGCTAATTACAGCTGTTGCACAAAAGTAATATACAATCAAACTTAATAGTGTTGACAGAGTGACCTGTGTATAACGTAAAATATTAATGTTTTGTCTTAAAATTTCTATGAGCTGACTTTTAAAATCAAGTGGACACAATACCAAAATCTTGAGAGTATCATAATTATTTCCCAACATGAAATTCACTTCGGGCCGTAGTTTGAACACTTCTAATAACCTCTGTCTCCAAACAACTAAACATATAATGTTTTACTCTGAACAGCAGTGAGTTAATAAATGATATTTTCTTCCTTTCCTTTTTCCTTTTGTGTTGGGTGGGGAAGATTTCTGGGTATTATATCAGATGAAGTCATTCTAACCTTATTTAAGAATGTGAATCTTTTTTTTTAACATTAAAACTTTCCACCCGAAATAATTGCTTACATTAGCTTCTATTTGAGTATCTGTATGATACATATGCATACATATATAATATAGCCAACCTATGTAAAATTACAATCCAAAATTTAACCATACTAATCAAATTTTAAAAAATTTAATAATGAATATACAGGTGACATGTAGAAACTAAAAGTATATCTATATTTTGTTTTATTTTCTTTATTTATTTGTCACATTTAGAACCTGCCCATTTCACTCATAGAGGGTCTCTGTGTGATGTTCAGTTAAAACTATAGAACTAGCTCAGTCTTTTAAGTTATATAAATTATCTATTTGTTCCATTTCCTTACTTTTAATGTAACATTATTTCAACTCAATAAATATAGAGTTTATTATATTCTTAGTATTCTACCATATACTGTAGGCAACTTAGATTATTAAATATACATAAGAGAAAATATAAGAAAAAAGATGTTCAATTAATATTAATCATGCTTTCAAATTTTATTGTTATAAGCATTACTAATTATTTGAGTTTTAAAATTAATATAATGAATATAAAATAAAAATTTAAAAATGAAGAAATAGCACAAACAAAATACTTGGTTTACAATAATAGTTTCACCCTTAAGATAAATTAATTAATAAACTCTCCGCCATGTTTTTGCATGATGTGTGTGTGTGTGTGTGTGTGTGTCCCCAAAGGTGCTTTTTCAAAAGGCAATTGTCCTTCCTTGTTTTTCTTTCTTTTTATTATTAATTTTTATTAGTCAAACAAAAAGAAAAAACTATATATATATAAGTAGCCTGATGATATATATATATCATCAGGCTACTGTATAGTGTTCATCTGTGAGTCAGGCTTTTACAGTGGTTTCAGATTTAAATTTGGGGCAGCCTATTGCTGTGCCAGAATGGTTTTTTCTTCATCCTGATTGGTTGAGAGTCTTGGTCTGTGTTTATTGGTCTTGGAGTTTGCTGTGTTCTGCTTGATTGGTGTTTCTAATATCTTCTGTCTGTTTTTTTGGCTCTTTTTGTGTCTTGATTGGCTGGCAACATTGTGTTACTTTATTGGAGGCCTTTAGTGCAGCTTGGCTCCGGGTAAATGGACGGCTATCATTAGTTAGGAAGCTAGGTTTCATCTGGGTGCCTGGTTGGGGTGTGTTTGAGCTGGAGGTATCAGGGGGGATCTGTTTGTGCCCAGGTGTTTGCCTGGCTTGTGGTGTGGAGATTTTTTTGTTTGTGAGTGCAGGCTTCCAAATGATTGACAGTCTGGTGGAATCATCTCTTCTGTTCATGCTTTCTGGTCTTTTTTCAATCTCTATGGCTTCTCTGATGATTCTGTGGCTGGGGTTTTCTGGCATTACCTTTCCATCTTTGGGCAAAGGCTAACCTCGCAGTGGTGACATGGACTATTAAATATGCTACATCTTTACTATAATCTCCCACACTGATTCCAATAAAAAACATTTCAGGTCTAAATTCTATTTTAATTTTACACATCTCTTCTGTCCAATTTC